AAAGAAACCCCATTTTAACATACTTTAGAATGACTTGCATTAAAAGTAGAGATCCCAACACTTGTCTTTCCCCTCCATATACGTATGTTTTTATGTTTTTCTTCTCTCCCTTCCTCACTTTTCTTTTCAATTCCCTCCTTTTTGTTCGTGGTTTCTTCCCTATATCTACTTTCTTCTTTCTTTCTTTCGTGGAGAAGCTTTTGACAAAATTTAACCTCCATGCCCCCGCTTTGACCTCCCAACACTTAAGAATAGACATGAGACATGCATGCATGCATTGATGTATGTGTTTTTTATAACACGATTACATATATGCTTAATGGACCATTTGTCACACCATTTTTATACAACATACACATACATAATTTGAGGTTTTTAGATGTTCCGGTGACTCTCAATAATCCACTGTGTCGATTTCTCTAATCATATATGTTGAATGCTTCTAGTGACAAGGAAATTAACTGTATGTGCACAATTTGTAAATCCTGATATTTTGCAACCCCTCCTATATTTGCATTTTACAACTATATTTATAGTACTTCGAGGTACAACATAGGTAATACCTCCTTTTAGCCACTTAATAACCACTTCAAAATCAATCTCAACCAACGAAAACTCTCATGTCCAAGCTAAATGGAGTATTTAACAATATTTACCTTAAAATTAAAAATTATTAGTGTACTTAATTAAGTTACATAATGAAGATGCAATTAATAAAGAAACACTATATACTATTGCACCAAAAGATGATTTGACCGGTTTGATGAGAGATTGGACCCAAAAATTCCTCTGAGGTGGGGCCCATAGGACATAGCATCACATTTACATATGACCTAAACATGATTAAACGAAAAAGTGGATTTGTCAAAAAAGAGACATGCAGCTACAAAGCTCTTTTTTTTTTTTTTTTTTTTTTTTTTGGAACTTTTAATTTTGAGGGGCTTGAGACTGGGAGAGGGTTGTTGGGGGTTGAAGGTAAGGTATAGAATGTGTTTGAATATTTGGTTAGCTATGAGTTGGGAGATGATGAGAAATGGATTGAAGATGAGAGTGGGAACATAAAGGCTGTTGGATCACATGCACATGCATTATCATTGCCTTTATTTTTTTCTTTAATTTCTTTCTTCAATTCTCTTCTCTTCCCTTCTTTTTATATTCTGATCTGCCTCAATAACGTTAAAAACTAAAGCTGTGTGGTTAGAAAGCTCTCATAAAGGATACATACATACATATATTTCAAAATAGCTTACATACATATACTTTCCATGAATATTATATTATATATTGATTCAAATTCTATATCTAACTCACTTTCAAATCTACCTAATGACCTCTAGCTAACTCAAATGGATAGAGGGAGAGACCACTGACCTATTTTTGAGTCTAACTATGAGTATATAGTAATAGAATATGGTATTTGCTTTCATTTTTTATATTTTGTAACCAGGACGGTACAAGTCTGGTAATATAATAAACACTAGAGTTGAAGATGAGATTTTATCCCAAAAAACGATTATATATATATATATATATATATATATATATATATATATATATATATATAATAAGTGGAAGAACCTATAGTATGATAGGTCGCACTCGAGTCAAAGTGAGGAAGTAGACTGCTTCACGACTTCTTGTAGAGTTGACATCTATATAAAAAATTTAGATTGAGATAGTTCTAATTTTATTCCCAAATTTCCAAACACGTGATAGTATTAGCCAACCAACTACACTATATCAAGGTTGAGTGCAACAATGAATACATGAAGCATGGTCTAGAAGCAAACATGTTCCAACCATCCAACACATCATCAAACATGTATAATATATATGTAGAGTTGTGTAGGAAATAGGCATTGATATCCTCATAATTGTAAGATTAATATAAATTCCGTTGACTCTTGCACTTGTATTAGTAGTTCATGCCAGGCCACTTATTACCAATTACCCAAACTATTAGAGTAAGTATTAAACACATTTTTTTGGAAGACACGAAATACTGCAACCATTACTTGAGGTATGCACAGGGTAAACCCCGCTCTTGTATAATAAATTGCAAGGCAGACATGAGAGATAAACTATGAGAAAACTAACCTGGTTTCAGTTGACCTCGTGGTTGTATTAGCAGTCGATTTATTACCAACTACCCAAACTACTAGGTTAAATATTAAACACGTTATTTTGGATGACAAGAAGAACCCGTCACCATTACTTAATGGTATGCATCTGGTAAACTCCACTTTTATATAATAGCCCACAAGTCACAAAAGAGATCAGAGGTAAACTACATTAGAAAAACATTGTGGCTTGATCTACTGAGAAGGTGTTAAACATATTTGAATTAATTGGAGTGGGATCCGGCCTTAATCCAAGGAAGGGATTCGAATGTGAAGACAAAAACAAGGGACCCTCCATCGTCTTTACCATCATTTCATGCAGAGGAAAGAAGGAAACATGCTCCAACTCATCACCTCCATTAACTTTGAAAGCATGTTTAAAGCGATATATCCAGGAATATTTTGTCGACAGATAATAATGCGCATCCATCTTATCATAGTCGTTTTATGAATAGAATTGCAGTTCGTTCTATCCGTCTCCTGATTGGGGTAATCAATATCTCATCACTAATTTTATCAGCCGTCCGATCCCATGTATCATGATCATGATCATACCTGCACAGTACATGTATATCGGTTTTGGAGAAAGAGCTCATAATATTGCTGCATCATCACTAAATCATTTTCCTTATTATTTTCTATTTTCGTGTTTGATGATGGGAGGTAACCACCTAGGTTAATAAGTTTTTAATCATTTCACCTTTCATCTTTCTCCATCTCAATTTCTACTCTTATTATTATTCCCAAATATTCTATGTAGTAGTATCTGTTCATATATACTTATACAGCCCTCACTAAGGCTCAAACTCATGACCTCCTATTTGGGAGAGTCAGGGACGGATGACCTCCTATTTGGGAGAGTCAAGGACGGAGCCAGAAATTCTGTTTGGGGGGAGGGGTGGGGGCGAAGCAGTAGGGACGGATTTAGAAATTTTTTTCAGTAAAAGCGAAACATTAAAACAAAAGAGATAATTAAAAAAAAATTACTTAAGAAACATAATTGTAAATATTGTTGGATATGAGCGAAAAATAAAACACATTGAAACTTTATAAAAATATTCATAACAAAATATGAAACATAATTAATTTGAATAGAAAACACATTATAAATTACACATAGGATTCAGACCCTTGACCTTTACTATATTACCAAACATGTGCTCTACCAACTAATCTAACTCATTTCTCATTAATTTTTAATAATTTTTTTTATACTAATACTAAAACATGTACTATATATACATATATATTATACAAATATTATATATGGGATGGGGGTGGGGTGAGGGGGGCAGCTGCCCCTGCCCCTCTTTGACTCCATCTCTGAGGAGAGTCACTTCATGTCACTAAACTACAATGTCATTGGCAATAACTATAATATTTAGTATAGTAATAATAAGCATTTAATTTTGAGAATAAGAATTTTATGCACTATAATATTGTTTAAACTCTGGTAGTTGGTCAACGAGTATGTGGTACCATTAGGTGAATTCGAGGCTGGTAAAAAAAAAAAAAAAAAAAAAAAAAAAAAAAAAAAGTTACAGTGGTCTTTATCCATACAAGGCTGCCAAAATGCAAATACTGTGGCTTTATATATTCCCTTGAAATCTCCGAAGATGGGTAAATATGGGCAGGAAATGGTTAATTGACCTGAACAAAAATTTCACGGTTGTCAAATCACCGTAAAGCTAGCCGGCCGAAAGCCCTCGCAGAACAGTGAAGCTCAGAAAAGAAGAATAAATTTAAAAAAATAATAATAATAATAAAGCCAAAAGAGCAGGAGAAGAAGCTGTGGTGAACTATGAATTGAAAGCTAAAGATGAGAGATTATCTCAACGCGCTCTCATCAGCTAAATTTGCCTGCCGCCATGGCTGGCAGCGGGTCCAGCTTCTTGAAAGCTAGACAGCATGCATTACTTTTCGACAATGTTTTCCTCTAGAGATAGAGAGAGACAAAGAACACTGCTACTGTGTGTATGTATATGCGTACGTATATACTTTATGCATGTGTTGCGTACGTATACATGCGGAAGACCGAGTGGACCATACATGGATATATAATCTAACGTAAATTAGATCCTGAGTTTGATGTATGAGGACGACAAAGACGTAGAAGTTGTTTACTTTTGTAAAAGCGACACCTCCATGCATCCCACGTTTTCCTCTTTCTCTATTCCTTTCTACGTATAATACTTTTCCAGAAAATGCGAAAACCCTAAAAGCCCCCACATTTTGACCAGACAGGATAATGGAGGCCTTAGTGTGCACAAGAAGCCCACTAGTCCACCACATTAGGTGTAACTCTTACACTGCGTTTGCAAGTCTAAATCTCAATCATGCGTCCTTACCCACAATCTGACCCAACAAGATAGTGGAAAACTAGCGATTGATGTCCATAAAAAACCCCCACTAGAGCCCCCACTGAGTGGTTGAAAGGTTGAGTTTGAGAGTAATGTCCTAGCAAATACCCAGATTCGATTCCCCAATAGGAGGATGATGAGATCCTAACGTAAAAAGAAAAAAAAAACACACTTAGACCTTGTGCCATTGAAACATATCTCGCGATTTATCTCCTCTCATTCAACACAGGGCGCAGGGTGATGAGGGACCCTCAGATTTAGAATTTAAACCTAAGAGGCCCACTAGTCCACTGCATTAGATGCAACTCTAACACTGCAACTGCCAGGTCTCAATCATGCATCTTTAATCATAAATCACAATCTACCACTTGAATAACAAGTCAAATACCTTGTAATCAAGTCTAGAAGTATATATCTATACGATAACGATGTTAATAATTAGGTGTAGTCTAAAGTTAAAGATGTCAAATACCTTGTAATCAAGTCTAGAAGTATATATCTATACGATAACGATGTTAATAATTAGGTGTAGTCTAAAGTTAAAGATGTATGGTGTAGTTGCTGTTTGTTGGGGTGATAAAGTTGCAGTATTCTACACATAATGTGTGTGGGACTTTTATGGAGCTACAGAGGAGGGATTACAAAAGAAAGCAACTTTGGCAGAAGTATCAGAGTTTAAAATGCATATTTGGGTTCCAGAACAAAATCCACATTTGTACAACAACATCCACATCTTTCTCAGGCCAAAAAGATATACAAAGTGGAAGTTTAGAAGGGCAGAGACCCCACAAAAGCAAAAACCAAGTGAACCTATAAAAGAAGAGGAAAAACAGCTTTATGGTAAGAGGCTTTATATCATGATTGAAGGACCATGTATGTAATAGTGCTCAAATTTTTCAAAATAAAAACCACATTATATTCCTCCATTTTCACTATGGGGAGAAAAATCACAGATTCACAGGCCTGCTTCTTATCTGGTGTCAGGAGATCGAGGTTAAAACTTAAAACTTCTCTCCTGTGTCATCCCTCCCGGTTTTATCGTGTCCTGCACAAGATGGCCATGGTAGAATCCTCTAGCAGGTAAAGAGAAAAAGCGATTACGGGACAGAGATCAGTTGGGATATGCGTTCAGTGGGTCTGGGGAGGTGGAAGTGGGGTGTGAATGATTATTGGAATAACAATTATTCTGCATTGTAGGCAGTAGTAGTGATAATCATGGAGGAAGCATATTCACTTTCCTCTTTGTCATCACTTTCTAAGGCATGATTAGGAAAAAGTTTATCACAATTCATCCCTTTAAAGAAAAACCATGCCTCTTTCTTCCTTGCACCCTGTTTCTTTCTCCCCCAAAAACTACCACTCACATACTTGTTTACCATCCATATATGATATAACCAAAACACAAGATCGTTAACTCACCAGATTTCCAGTTCTCTAGCTCGGCTGAATAGCTGATGGTGTTTAACATGCTCTCTAGCATGTGCCTGCTGCATAATATGTAAATGAATCTTGATTAGATGTTTTGTAAGCAAGAAATTTGGATTGTGGAAAGTTTACGGTAATAAGATTCATGGACCTACCAAGATAATCTAAAATCATCAGCTGACAAAGTCATTTCTTCCAGCATGATGGCATTGGATCCTTCCCTTTTGCTTCTAGCAGATCCAAATGACATGGAGAGTGGAGGCACCCACTCAAACTAAGACATAACTGACAGTAAAATTATGGTATGAGTAGCAAAAGTCGTCTAAAAGACTAAAACCATGCCCCTATTTTTTCCAAAAAATAAAGCGAGAAAAGAAAGCTCAAAAGATTAAATGCACAGTGAGAACAAAAATGATGATAAAGATAATAGGATTCACTTTTTTTTTTTTCTTTCCTGCATTTAGCTCCTACCCTCTACTTTTCACCATGGCAAATGCGGTGCATGAAAGTTTAGAATAGCTTTCAAGATCTTTAAACAATAACTAATACGTCTTTAAGTCATGGAGAAATCAGTGAACTTTTTTCTGCAGTTAAATCAAAAGCAAAAGGGGTCCCCTTTATCTGTAGAAATAGCACTTCTAAGGGAATGATTTGCTGACAGAATTCCACCCTAAGATGAATAAAGAGATGATTTTGCTCACCCCCCCTTTAGTATCTGCATATCTATCTTCGATTCTATGTATTATAAAACATCCATCTTTGACAATCCCCAGCAGGAAAAGCATGATGAGACAAAAGACCATTTAGTAGCCACAACCACAAAAGATAATTACAGTCAGCTCTACCAATAGTTCGTGTCTGTTACTCTGTTACGCATGACCATTACCACCATGCATACATTTCAAATTTCAATCTTAAAAACATTCTCGAATAGTTTATTTCTTGATTTTAGCATTCCAGCACTCCAGCTAAAGGAATCACTAAGCATGAATATTCTAACGTAATAATAAAACAACTGCTTTTCAACCTAAAGACACCCTCAGTTGATTTTAACAGTCCAACAACGGGTAAAGGAATCAATATACACGAATATTCCATAAAATAGACGAGTAAAAATTGCACTCGAAAATGCAACAAAAAACAAAACTTTAGCTAACTCAATCTACAGAATGTGCTTATAGAAATCAGTGAAAACCAATACCTGATTCAACCAGCTTGCAGAATAGACCTTCATCCATTTCACTGGACATGTAAATTACAATGTCATTGCCAAGTGGCGATAAAAAAAAACCTTCAGATATCAAGGATACTAATAAAATTACTGTGCATTTTAGTAACTAATACATTCATCCATTTCTCTAGCTCAATATTTTTTACCAGGTCAATGGCAGTAATAACAAGAAAGGCATTCAATACCAAGAATCATGATCTGACTATCTGAGACATATATCCATTCACCCAAAATGACCAAGAACCAAGAAGCTTGTGACTGAAAATTACCCTAAAGTTTAAGATAGCCATATCATAGTCTGAACAAAAAATTGCAATCTTCAAGGATCAATGGATTATTTCCTATTCACCGACGATTTATGAAGCTTCACCATCACTTCCTCACCTAATAACCACCAAGACTTCTGATAGCAGATATAAACAATAATAAGCTTCTTAAACTCTTAACCTGACACACAAAACAAATTTATCATAGCTTTCCTTGGCTTTCAAGTAAACAAGAATAAAAGAATGTCGGGTTTTTTGTGAAAACTACTCCAGAAGGCATTACATATGGCATCAACACCTACTGCAGTACTTCTTTTGAAGACAAGCAGTTCACTGGAATGAAACTATGCTGGAAGTTCAAAAGCTCTAGTTAATAGTTTTACTAGTTGTATAGCATTCAAGGATAAGCAAAAGGATTTTACTACAACAAAAACATATATACATCTAGAAAGCTAACTAAATGAATGGTAAAACAGATATATCACTGAACTAATACATAGAGGTGCTGAAAAAAAGTAACAAGTCAACAAAGAAAGCAGAATGGAAAAATACAGTCACCCGAGGTAATGTCGACTATCGGACTGATTCATAATATTTTATTACATATAAACTTCCATACCTAGGTATTTACTGGACTGACACACAGGACAAAGTCTAAGCTTACTTTCACATTCTTTACACAGGCAGAGATGCTTACAGGGAAAAAGTAGCATGCATACTTCATTGACTCTACAAAATTTACAAGTCATCAACTTCTTCATTCCATTTTTATCCTGGGAAAGCAGGTGAAAATCAATGGCACGCCCATTACAAAAGGATGCTGTATCATCCACCTCACTATCACCACATCCTTCTTTACTATCTATATTTTGAGCATAAACCTGCTGTAAATTGAACTTGAGAGTGTGAATCAGGTTTTCATTGTATTTGGCTCGCTGTTGCCAAGCATCAGCCTCCATAGATAGTTTGTCCATTTGCATTTCAAGCTCCAAATTTTTTTTGTTGATGTATTCAGCCTCTGCCTCTTTCTCGTTTAGCTTTTGAATGATCTTTTCTTCAAGATAGGAGATAGTCTGGAGTTGACTTGCCTGCACCTTCTCTAAGATAGCCTGCCTTAATTGATCACCCTTCCATATCACAAAAAAATAAGAAAGTAATGAATAACAAATCCCATCATTAACAGAACACAAAGTCTAAGGTTACAGAAAATGCATTCACTAAGTAGTAGGTACTCAGTACTTCTATCGGCTGTATTTAGCTTTGCCTAGAAAATAAGATTCTCAATTTCGATCATAACCCATCAATGAAGATGCAAAATTTGACCTTGCAAGTATATCCCCATATTGGAATGTTAGGATATAAACAAAATAGCTATAGTGATCTCTAGAACTTAAAATGTAGCAATAAGTCAACAACATGTGACCACATTATAGAACACTCAAATGAATCAACCATAAGATACAAACACAATGTGGTACTTAATAATTATATTAAAAACTGCAGCTTCAAGGTCAACTTCCATTCACCTAGCCATAACTATGCTGCAAATGTAAAGCATAATATCCACGATACTTGTATGAATTGACTGAAGTAAATAGCGTTTTCTTAACGGAAGTATCAGCTGCTTATACAGGAAAAGGATAGCATTCTTAACAAGGTAAACTGGAAACCAAAACCCTAGCTTTCAGAAAATCCCAAGTCATTTGCAACAACCATAATCGCAAAGAGTCAACTTACACACAAAAGAGAAACCAATAAAAACAAGAAATAGCTCAAGCAAGCAGCAAATGTACACATTATTAAACAAAAAGCATGTAACTTTCAAAAAAAAAAAAAAAAAAATTCAGATGAATTGAAACAGACCTGGACCTTAACGTATCTATCAATTTCAGCATCAAGGCTCTGTAACTTCCGTTCAATGTCATCCCCTGACAGACCGAGAAAAGATGAGTCCCCAGATGATGCCAGTCGGCCATTGTCGAGAGACAAGCCGAGCCCAGTGGACACTGACCGCCGCTGCAAGAAGTCCACTGAAGATATCTGAGAATTGTTCTCCAGAAAATCCTGCTCCTCGGGTCTCTTCTTCGGTTCCAACCCATAATTCCACTGCAAATCGAGCGTAGCTTCCTCCACTGGAACAGGCACTAACCCAACCACTTGAACTGCCACCCAAAAAAAAATCCCAACTTTCAAGAATGAAAATCGAATTAAAGCCTAATTAGCTGAAATGTGAACAAATATATATACATATCGTACACGGAGGGACGTAAGGAGGATGCTGAGACCGATCGGGGAGGTTTGAGCCGTCGAAATAAACGACCGGCGGTGAAATTTGACCGTTCATACTGTTATGCATATCTCTGTGAGAAATGCGAAGAAGAAAATGATAATCAAGAACTGGAAAAAGATTGGATTTTTGAGAAATTGGAAGAGTTTAATTTGTGGCTGCAACTTGTTTACCTGAAGGGCATGGACCGCTGGTGTGGTTGAGGTGAATTTTGTTGGAAGTGGCGCTCCATGCTCCGCTACAGAACTACTGCCTACTGGAACCACCTCGATGCGGTTCGCGAGAAGAAGATTCTCCTGTATTATTTGCATCATCGTCCTCGCATCTTTTTATAATTACAATATGAAGGGTAATAGTCGACAAAATTCTATTTTTAGCCAAAATATTTATATAAAAAAATGTTTAAAAACTCTCGATTCAGTTCAAATGCTATTTAAATGTAAAAAATAAAGAGATAAGAAAAAATTACAACCAATATCATTTTGGTGGTAGTCTACCCGTATCAAATTTAAATGTTAATGATTGAACTAAGAGGGGTGTATAAGTGTATCCAATCAAAACTTTTAAAGACTTTCAAATATTTTTAAAGTGATGGATTTTAAATAATTTTTGTAGAATTTTTGTAGACTTTGCTACAATCTTTTAAACTTTCATTAACTTTGTACGAGTCTATACAAATTCATAGAACAAGCATTGATAGACTTTTAAAAACTTTTTCATATTAAAAAGTTTGAACTAATTTCACTTTTGGTCCCACGACTTTAGAGGTTCTATCATTTTTGGTGCACAACTTTAAATTTTTTCAATTTTGGTGTCTAACTTTGTTATTTTTATCAATTTTGGTCCTTTCGACCAAATTGATTGCGAAATATTGCTGAATTTTACATTTTAGGGGCAAAATCGTCATCCCAAGAAAAGATATTCAATATCTAAACAAAAGAAAAATCATGTTAAGAGAAATATAAAAGTTTGGCAATCGTCGATGCTATAAATCTCATAGATCTGTGTCTAGTTTCTGTCCGTCTTCCCAATTATTCTCATCGATCAAACACCTATAGTCCTATAGATATGATTTTAGAGTGATTTTGTTTAGATATTGAAGATGTTTCCTTGGGATGACGATTTTACCCCTAAAAATATAAAATCCGGCAATATTTCGTCGTCAATTTGGTTGAAAGGACCAAAATTGATAAAAACAACAAAGTTAGGCACCAAAATTGAAAACTTTTAAAGTTGTGCACCAAAAGTGATAAATTCTCTAAAGTTGTGGGACCAAAAGTGAAATTAATTCTAAAAAGTTTACAGAAATCATTAAAACTCTAAATTGAATACACCCCTACAAACATTCCATAACTTCTATTAATACATTATTATTTATAATTTTCTTAAAAAATATATTTTTATAAATCATAAATAAATTAATACATTGCTAAAAAATAAAAATAAAAATTAATTATCACAAAAATAGAGTATATTATTCATAAAGAAAGATAATCAATTTTCACTAAATATAACATATATAAATATTTCTTGAGTAAACAACCGTAAATAATAAATTACTTCTACGGTAATTTGTACACCATATTGACTTTTAAAAATTTGTGCACCGTCTTGAGTAAACAACCGTAAGAATAAATAGTTTTTGTAATAAATTTCTTGACTTTTAAAGATGATGAATAACCGTAAATAATATTACTTTCAAAAATTTTGTTGTGAACAACAGTAAATAATAAATTTTTTGTTATGATTTTTTATATATAAATATGTATGAAAATAATAAAGAGATAAAAAAATTATATGATTATTTATTGAAAAAGATTGAAACGTACCGTAAAATTTGATAGAAATTGATGAAAATTATCTGGTGTAGATGGAGGAAAAAAGTTTGTAGATAGCGAAAATTGAAAAGCTTGGGTTTATAGGATTAGATTTCATCTATTTATATTAATGAAGGAAAAGTAAATCTTATTTTGATAGAGTCTAAGACTACTAAATTATCTAGGGGCCAAACTCAAAATAAGTCAAAACTTTAAGGATAAAAAAGAATTTACTCTGGTGAGTTGGGTAGGATGAAAATTATGGGCCAATGTAATATCCCATTAGTGGATCAAAGTCATTAAAAGAGCTTCCTTATTGGGCCTGCAAGTTATTTAAAGGTAGAGCTTTAATGAAGTTTAGCCCAAATTGAAATTGATGGCAAATTATATTGTGCAGTGCGGTGCATAATCGATTATGTACCGTGCATCAAAACGACGTCGTTTTATTTAATGAAAAGAAACGGAATTCGTTTTGCGCCGTTCCGAAAAAAAAAAAAAAAAAAAAAACTTTGTTCTTCAGTTTCATTTTGTATACACTGCAATTTCAGTTCAACACAATTACAATTTCATTTCGATATAACTACAGTTTCATTCAATATTTGTACACTCAAATATGTGAAAATGTTATTTAATTTATTTTATGTACACTATAGTTTCATTAAAACACATTTACATGATCATTTCGATATAATTACAGTTTCATTGTACAATATATACTCAAATATGTGAAATGTTATTCAGTTTCATTTTATATATACTGCAGTTTCATTTGATAATATAACAAAAAATGTGAGGCAGTGTCGGTTTAGATACACTGTAGTGTCACTCCATTAACACTAACAGCGGACCGTTTCTTTACTTAAAGAAACGTCGCCGTTTTGATGCGCGGTGCATAATCAATTATGCACCGCGGTCCACGATATAACGACTGGAAATTGATAGCGGGAGCTTATGCAGGAGTTCTAGTCAAATTATGCTGTGGAAAGTTGACCCAGGTTATATTCATAATTTTTGAATTTTATATTCACAATTTTAGAAACTTATATTCACAATTTTAGAATTGAATATTTACAATTTTATATCTCAATATACAAATTTACAGAACTCAATATTTACAATTGCAGAACTCTATATTCACAATGTTTGAACTATATATTTACAATTTTTGAACTCTATATTCATAATTTTAGAACTCTATATTTACAATTTTAGATCTCAATATACAATATTGCAAAACTCAATATTCATAATTACAGAATTCTATATTCACAATTACAAAACTCTATATTCACAATTACATAATTATATATTTACAATTTCATGACTCTATATTCACAATTAAATAACTCTATATTTACAATTACAGAACTGAATATTCACACTGAGTTGGCTGCGAAAACGATGTCACTAATAGCATCGTCGTTTAGGACTTGGATTCACCATGGCATAACTATTGGAAGTTCTATCCAACAAATTCAATGATTAAGGCATAACATCTTCTATATCCATTATCATATTATCATATTGTTAAATAGATAATACGACTAGGGAAATAGATAGAGACTTGCCATGCACCAAATCTAGTGATGTCAAATATGAGACTATGTCGTGTTAATCTAGACATAATAACATGTTGGACGGGCCCATATTAGCTTATGTCGGTTTAGCCCATTGCATATTTCATCTCTTCCCATCAATTCAACAATCGTTATATCCTACACCACGGGGCCCATATTAGCTTATGTCGGTTTAGCCCATTGCATATTTCATCTCTTCCCATCAATTCAACAATCGTTATATCCTACACCACGGCGCACATAGCACTGTGCGCCGCGCGCCTCCCAAAACGACGTTGTTTTGGTGTAGTGTTGGAAGGCGCGGTAGGAAGTTGCTAAGATTATGTGTATTTGTTCACAACGTTATGTGTATTTGTTCACAACGTTATGTGTATTGGTTCATACAGTTATGTGTATTTTTTATACAATTATGTACATTCTTTTTATACAATTATGTACATCCGAATCAGAAAATTTGTGTGTATTATGTTAAGAGTTGATGTGTATTATGTTAAAAGTTTATGTTTATTATGTATTATGTTAGATTATGTGTATTATCTTTTAAAAAGAGTATGTATATTTTGTTATATAATTATGTACATTCATGTATAACATTATGTGTATTCTAGTATAACATTATGTACATCCTTGAACAGCGGGTTTTTTTTTTTTTTTTTTTTTTTTTATAAAAAAAACTACTGTCATTCACTGGGGCGGGAAATTTCAAAAAAAAAAATAATTAAAACGACGTCGTTTTGCATCTGGGCGCATAGTGCAACGCGCGCCGTGGTGTAGGATATAAATTGCCTCAATTCAACGATCAACTCATTATAAATAATTTATATTAAGCTTTATTAATGAAAAATATAGAATGAAAGGGATGAGGTATTTGTTGGAGATAAGCATTACTTCCAGGGGTGGGGTCATGAATTGTTTAAGGAACCCCGTGAACAAGCTTCCTGCCCCAAGTGGTTGTTTGTCCGAATTAACCACTTCTTATATCATTTGATCTGTTGGGCTGTCACATCCCATCCAATTCAATTCTTGCATTTTTGTTCCTATTAAATTTATTTTAGAACAAGTCTTTTTATAATAATTTGTCAATAAACTATGGATAATGCATTATTATAATAATCATTTGTTTCGCGGAAAAATCTGCACAGCAATCATTATCAGAAGATATACTCATTTTGTGACCATAGTCAGTAAATGTTATAAGGAAATAAATTAATTTAGGTCACTTATATTTGACATGTTTAAACTTATAAGGTTAATATGTTACTACCACCCACTGATCCACAGTGTCTTTTTATAATAATTGTTTAAATATAGAAAGTGATGAGTTTGTTACAACAGCTCGCCATGACCATATGTCGTCCATATCTCCCTGCTTCAACTTTACAATGTGTACGTACACATGCATGTTTACACGTTGCATTAGCAGTTCATTTATCAAACTGCTCGATTAAGGTTGATGTAATTTTAAATGTAAAAACATTGCACAATTTTTTTATTTATTACATTAATGCACATACATGTTAAACAATACAAGTAACGGAAATATGTTTCCTTTTGAAGTTATCTCTATTGCTTACCTTGCTTGAAACAAGGAAAAGAGTTAACCTAATTAAGGAAAATGTTAAGAAAAAAACAAATGACAGAAAACAAACATTATTATTAATGAGAGTACTAGTTACTGTGTAAATGAAGAGTAGTCAAATGTTGTTTAATCGTCCAACGTTAAGGTTGTGGCCACAATGGGACTTCTGACGACATGTTTACCTGCATTCTCCACCCAGGTGAGAGACCCAAAAACCAAGAAATCACCCATTGTTGATGGAGCTTCAATCCTTAACTTGTAGCTTTGCTTGTCGGACTTTTTGGTGAAAACCAGTTTGTCAGGCACAACGGTTACGTTAACGTTGCCGATTGGCGTCAGCTTTGCAGAATAGGTAGATATCCCATCTCCGAGATTAGTAAGTGTCCGGTGGAATTCTTGGACTCTGTTGGGATCAGACAGGGTGGCGTTAGCGGGGAAGAAGGCGATGAATGATGGGTAGTTGAGGTCCAATGACGGGTTTGAGCAGTTGTACGATGATGTTCTTATGATGGTCTGGGTATGATTTGGCGTGAATTTCAGAGCGCATATAAGGTTGATGTAATCTTGTGAGCTCACATCGTATATGAGGCCGGGGTCGAGCGCCCTGTTTGGATTGATATGGCCGGCTCCCATGGCCAGAGGAGAGGCGGCGGCATTGTCGAAACCGATGTCTTGAATCGGGGCGGCGGTGTTGTCCGTGGCGTCGGCGGTTGTCATCATGGCGGACCGGATGGCCGCCGGGCTCCAGTCCGGGTGCGCCGCTTTTAGAAGCGCGGCGACTCCGGTGGCGTGCGGGCACGCCATTGATGTCCCGGATATGAGGTTGAAGTTACTGAAAAGATTGCCGGAGGGTATCTGTGCCACCGCGGAATTCGGCGGCCAGGATGCTAAGATTAAAGAACCCGGCGCCATTATATCAGGCTTCAGAACTTTTGGGCAGCTAAAGGATGGACCTCTTGAGCTATAGCTTGTAACTTTCGGCGCTGGTTTTGTTCCCAGGACTGTCATCTTAAATTCCAGCTTTGCTTTTGGCGCGGAATTGGATTTAATGTAGTTGATAACTTTTTCGCCGTCTTCAATGGTTAAAAACACAGAGGGGATTTGGTTCTGTAGCAAGAATTCTAAGTTGGTCTCATTGGTTATGAAAACGCCGCCACCGACTTTTCCGTTTTGGAGGTTGAATACTTGGTCCGCGACCGTGCCGTTCTTGTCGAGACACACGACAATTTTGTCGCCAGCGTTCTGCAACTGCTTCGTGTCGGTGCATTCCCCGAGAAAAACGGCCGGCAACGAGGTGGAAGTGGAATTCCCAGGATACAGAGACAAACCAGAGACGGAAACTCCATTGTCAAGAGTCAACGCCCCCCGGAACTCCCGGTCAACGGTGCCGGCCGCCACCGTGAGAAGCCAAGGCGTCCCGTTGTGGAGAGAGGCGAAGTAGGGCCCTTGGTTCCCTGCCGAAGTGGAAACGAAAACGTTCTTCTCCATTGCGGCAAATGCGGCTATGGCGATGGGGTCTTCATACAGAGCAAGCCCGTCAACGCCGAGAGATAACGACAGGACGTCTACTCCGTCCACCAATGCCTGATCAATGGCGGCGATAATATCGGAGAGCTGAACGCCTTCATCCCAGAGCGCCTTGTACATAGCAACCCGAGCTTTTGGAGCTATGCCGGTGGCTACACCCGTGGCGTAGCCGAAAAACGTTGCGCCCTCCACGCGGCCGCCGGCCGCCGTGGAGGAAGTGTGGGTCCCATGGCCGTCCGTGTCGCGGGCAGAGTTCATGGAAATAGTTAAATTAGGATTCTTGGCAAGCAGGCCTTTGTTAAAGTAACGAGCTCCGATGAGTTTCTTGTTACACATGGAAGGAGTAAACTGAGTTCCACTCTGGCATTCCCCTTTCCACCTCGCCGGAATTTCCCCCATCCCATCATCTCCAAAGCTCTTACTCTCCGGCCAAACCCCGGTGTCAATCACCCCAATAATAACATCACGGCCGTAGTCCGTCGCCGGCCATGCACCGTGGTCGGAACTGAGCCCAAGGAATCCCGGCGTGTGGGAAGTGTCAACTTTAACTGAAGCATCCTTAGTGGAATACAGATATCCAGGAGATTTCTTGATGGCTTCAAGCTCTGCCGGAGAAAGAACTGCACTAAAACCATGGATGGCATTAGTGTAGGCATACACAAGCCCTCTGTTTGATATAGAAGAAAGGGTAGCGGAAAACCAGCTCTGATGGCTAGTAAAAGCTCTGGGCATGAATGATAAGTCCATATGGACAATATAAGTTTCAGACTGTCCATCAATGGAGAAAATCTGCAGAAATGTTGCAGAGATAAATGCCAAATGGAAAAACAACGCCCTATGATTAGCCATTTCTTAGGCCAATATACTAAATTAGGATGGGATATTTCTTCTCTAACTTATGGCAGTTTACTTATATAGAGGAATTGAACAAGCTAAGGCATGGGAAACTTCTGCATTATATTCCAACTTGTGATTTACTTTGTCCATTTCTTATACCAGATTGGGGGACCCTTAGCTTTAATCCACTAATTGCAAGCTAGCTAGGTTGCAACAATTTCAAATCTGCAGCAAATTAAACTTTTTTTGCCATTGACGTACTGCCCATCTCTCTGTGAATGTCATCTTTACATTGAGGCAAATAAATAAAGACAACCGCCAATTATGCAGCCGACTTTCAATCATGGAGACTATTGCAAAAAATGGATTATATGGTTCCATCTAAACAGGAGATGTCTTTCAAATTCTGGTTCAGGGTAACCCTTATTAGGTTGTCAGCCAAATTGGTCAAACAGTTAACCTAATTACAAGGTTTTATGTTCGATTCCTGTGGAAGCTGTTTATTAGACTTGTTGAGTTGAGAAGCTAAGGTCAATTATGAACAACTTAGATCGGTGATGAAACGGGACTTGAATTGAGGTTTTTGCTTTACTTTTTGCATTCGTTCATTGACAGTGACAAAAGGATGGTTTGGAATTTTGGATAAAGGTAAAATGAAAAAGAAAGACCTTAGCTTAAAGGTAATAAATTTGGTCCATAAATCATGTAAAATATTGGGTGGAGCTATGATCAAGACAAGAACCTTAAAGTATGTCTCGAACCCACCATGTGCGTAATATATCCTTCATGCATGGGTAAAATTAGTTTTATATTTCTTCATATCATCATACTATAAAGATCTGCTGAAAGAAGTTACCAAATTATTTCTTCTTTGCTCGTGGGTGGCCTCTACTGTGAACATCACGGATTCAGTGATTCACTCACTCTCATGCTATCCACATTTCTGAGGACATTAATCCAACTCTCAACGTTCTGTCAACTTTTCATTTGTCTCCACTATACGTACTGTTCTTCTTCTTCTTTTTTTATTTTTTATTTTTTATTTTGTATTTTGTATTTTTTACCCATGGCGATTTCGATTTGTTTGGGTGCAGTGTCAACAAGGAACCATAGAAAAATCCTGTTTTTCCCATGCTGTTGGCAGAGGAGAAAATTAGAAGAGACAGTTTTGAGGAATTTGATTAAGGTGGATTATTGTATGTTGTTTGGTTAGAGTCCCTTCATTTAAAATAACGAAAACAACAAGTTAGTTAATTATATAGTTGGTCATGGCTAGTACCTTATTGTTTGCTCAAACTTTTTTTTTATTATTATTTTACTACAATCTAACTATATTTATAATATCTGCTCAACATGATTATGTCAACATCTTTGATTGACTTTTCGTTTGAAATTGTAACAGTAATGCCATCAGACCACAAGATACTTGGCGGATCATTATGTTGTGCAACCGTGTGCACCATCCAAGGTGCACGCCGAATTAGATTCATAATTTCTATACTATAGATTCATAATTTCTATACCGTAGATTCATAATTTAAATACAATAAATTCATAATTTCTATACAATAGATTCATAATTTTTATACTGCAGATTCATAACATCTATACTGCATATTCATAATTTCTAAACTATATAATTATCAAATTATGAACATATAATTCTGTGATTTGTGAATACAGAGTTCAAAAATTGAGAATATGAACATCGAAAATTATGAACATAGAGTTCTGTAATTGTGAATATTGAAAAATGTAATACTAATCAAGAATAAAGTGCAATGTTTGTTACTTATAAGAGAAAGTGTAATACTTTTGAGTAAAAATGTAATACTTTGGAGGAAAATGTAAAAGTATTATATTTTTCTTCAAAAGTAATACACTTTTTCAGTTTTCCTTATAAATAACAAGATTTTTTGACATCTTTCCAAAAGGTTGAACCCCAACCCTAAATTCCATTTTAATCATTTTTATACAAAAGTGAGTTGACCCCGCTATATTTTTATGTTTATTTTTTTGAAAAAGCTCATAATTTAAGACCGAAATGCTTTTGTATTTAACCGCATTAACAGGGCGTTTGGTTGGAGAGGGAGAATTACGTGGGAAAGGAATTGCAATTCCATGGGAGATGAATTACTGAGAATAAAGTGGAATTTAAATTCCAATGTTTGGTTTACAGGAATAGAATTACTGAGGATTTCAATTCCAATGTTTGGTATACATGAGAATTGAAAGGGAATAAGTAGTATAAAGTCAAAAATGTCCATTTTTGTTGTTAGGCATTAATTTTAGGTTAAAAAATGAAGGGGTAATTTTGACTCATCACTATCTTTTTTTCTTCCTCAAATTCCAGGGAAGGACATGGAATTTTAATTTCACGAAAATGGGGAAATTGCAATTCCATGAAATTGCAATTTCTTTCAACCAAACAAAGAAATTTTGTGGCCTTTGGAATTAGGTGGGAAGGGAATTTAAATTTCCTTCAACCAAACGCCATGTAAAACTATTTTATTGATAGATGATAAAAAAAAATAGTCGTGACACAATAATACTAGCACCAAATGTGGATGTTTTGATTAAAAAAAAAATACTAAAAATGGGTTGTCACCTATAAATCTAAGACCAAAAATGGAATTAACTCTAAATAACAAACACTTAATTTCTTACTATTGTTACATTTTCCAATATAAATATTACATTTTCATTTTGAATTGATCCATCTCACAAACAAAAATGTGTGAGACGATCGATCTCACACAAATTTTTATCTTAATGCCATGGTGAAATTTAGGATGAGAAAAATAACATTTGATTATTTTGCCCTCGAAACACTCACAAAAGGTATGTAAAATCATGAAATTTTGTCATTCCAAGTGGGAGGTTGAGTGAGCTCATCAATGGAAAAGAAAGAAAAGAGAAGAATCAAAAGATAGTTTTTTTAAAAAAAAAAAAAAAAGAATCAAAAGACAAATTTGTCCACATAATTTTAGCCATTAAAATTTTCGGTTACTTATTGCAGACAATTTATCGAAGGCACAGAAATTGAAAAAAATTAAATAATTACAGTACTAAATTGACAGTTTTAAAACTCGTGAATTACAATTAATAACACACTAATAATTATAGGACAAAAGTGAAATTTTATCTTTTTGTCCCTTCTTTGATCATTCTTCCAAAAGGCTGAACCTCAACTCTAAGTGCCCCCATACTCCGATCCGACAGAGCATTTGGGAGGATGTGAATCATGGTAACTCAACTGAACATGAACCACAGAGGCTAGATCGGTGCTCACTGCGCACAAATTGTCTAGTTTGTGAAAAATACGTTTTTGAGATAATTTATTCTAAATTTAAGGAAAATGAATTCCTTTATTTTCCTTTTAAGTATTTTATTTTTCACACTTTTTTGAAAGAAAATATACAACAAGAATTCTTACAATATCCTTATATATTTTTATTATGTAGGCACATTTAAATCTTTATAATAATTATTTTCTACATTTTTTTTCTCACCATCCAAATAATTAAATCAATATTCTAAATACAATTTTTCCATAAAATTTAAATTCTTTCTTCTCGATTATTTTTCACGAACAAGTTGTAAGAGTTCTCCATCAAAGGGACATCCAGCCATGAGCCACCGTACACCACACTAATTTAATTGTTAATTTGGTAGCGTTTAGCTTTTGGAATTTTCTTTATTTAAAAAACAAACACACACACACACAATTGTTTTTTAGCATTATTTTTCAATTTTGATATGTAAAATTGTTTTTCCAATCCAACAAACAATTTGAAAAGTAAAAATTTTCAAGTACAATAACAAACATATCTTAATAAAAACACACATAACTTTATTTATAGTCAGTGTTACTTATCAACTTTCACTTTACCCGCTTATCTACTTATCTTATCTATGCACCGCCTATGTGTACATATCTACCAACATTTATTTACCTACAAACTTCTACTTCACCTATTTACCTATGTATATCTCATCTACCCACTCATCCATCTATGTACCTCTACCACCACCTACCTACCTATGTATCTCATATACTCACCCACCTATCTATGTATCTCTACCACCACCTACCTACCTACCTATTAATCATTAAAGTAGAGGTTATCCTTTAAAAGATTAATCTTTTAAAATTTTGTTTATCAATGTTATAAATATTAAAAAAAAAATCTCACATCTCCTTCGTCTCTGGTCAAAGATGAAAAGCAATTTTGTCTTTAAGTCGAAGATTAAGAGACTACTTCATCTCTAGTTGGAGACGAAGATGTTTTTCTTTGTCTCTGTGTCAGAGATGAAGGTAATGAAATCGAGGGTGGGGTTTAATTTTTTTTAATATTTAAATTGTAAATGGTAGATTCATAGTTTCTATACTGCAAATTCATAATATCTGTACTGTATATTCATAATTCATGTATTGTAGATTCATAATTTCTAAATTGTATAGTTATCAAATTATGAACATATAATTTTGTGATTTGCGAATACAGAGTTCAACAATTAGGAATATGAACATTGAAAATTATGAGCATAGAGTTTTGTAATTACGAATATAGAGTTCAATAATTATGAATCTATAATATAAAAATTATGAATCAAATTCTGTGTGCACCATGCATGGTGCACACGGTTGCACGGCATAATTTGCCAATTTGATGATCTTTCATTTTATTAGGACGGAGTATTAATTTGATCCACGAATTCATGAGCACTATTTGTTTTTTTTTTTTTTCACTATTAACTTTATTATAAAGTAATATCTATTTTATATTTTTTCTAAATATTACAGTCTAAAGAGTCAACACTCCACCACTGGATTTCAATCCTGTGAGTCTGTGACCTTTCCCTCGAGGAGGGCCATAGAGTGCCATTAGTCTTTGCCGTTGGTTATGCGTCTTTCTTTTTTATTAATGAAGTAAAAGCGAGTTATTGGATGTGATTTTGATATTTTCCAAGTCTTCAACACCTATTAATTATCGATCATGATGTGAATCTGCAACCCTATTGTTAAAGATAAAATAAATTTCTATATTTACCATACTAATAAAAGCCATTGACGCTTGCAAAAGAAGAATTTATAATACAATTAAAATTCCAGTCATATACACAACAAGACAAATTTAACTTTCTATACCATAATCTCATTACATGATGCTACCTTCTATGTTACCCCGGTAAATCAATTACACTTGATACACTACCAATTAAAAAGAAGAGGACAAGTATTGAAGATGAAAACAATATAATGACAATGCTATCCAAAATAGAATTACGAAGACTTAGAGAAAGTAATATTTATTTAGGCTATTATTTTTAGATTAATTATGTAGACTTGCATTTTTACAGAGTTGCAAACATTTATTTTAATATATAACAATTATAATCAATATCTCATACATTATCTTACATTCATATACTTTGAATTACCAATTTAAATAATCAAATTCAACATTCAATCGCCTATGCATGAACATCTCCTATATAATATTGCATTGATATACGTACTTTGAAGTACTTATTTAAAAATAAACATTGAACATTATATCACATTCGCACAATGCACGTGAAAAACTAGTAGAAATATATAGATGCAATGCAGGTTCAAATGAGAACTCATTTGGTCACGTAAAAAATGAGAATAGATTTTAAGGAAAAATTACATTTTCCATCACTAAGTTATAAAGTAATTATAAAATTAGTCGATATTTGTTAGTCATGCTTACTCCTCGTTTCTAAACTGTAACTACATTGCAAATTTCATCTTTTTTATAACAGGTTAGGTTGTGCTCACTTCTCATCCATAAGCTATAACCGACGTTGCAAATTCCGTCCCTAATACTTTGTTAGAAAAATGATGAAATTTACAACGATAAAGTTTGGTAGTACGTGCATCGGCTAATAACAGATAGTGCGCTCAAAATCGATCTACCAATAGTCCACATTATATTGTAACATATCAGTGAACCTTACCATGCAAACAAGGTTGAGCTGAGTGCATTGTTTTTAGATGTTGAGTGGCACCAAGCAAGACACCTCAGGCCGGGTGTGATTACCACGCACGCACTTATATATCTTGCCAAGTAAGTGCACTGTGCACCCAATCAGATCATATCCAAATTGGGTTGAATAATTTGGTCCCATAAGTCACGGAATGTATGTAATGTCTAATTTGCTACTTATTATGATCCAGACAACCACCTTAGCTTAAACCATATAATTCCGGATTCCGGAACCCACCATGTGCATGTTCTTTCAATTAAGGCTGTGGAAACTTTGCTCTTAGGCAAGCTAGCTGGACTCCTCTCATCTACTTTTAACATCACTCACCTCATTACGCTGGATATCAACATCCATCTCACACCACATTAAATTAATCTCCAAGAGTCTGTGTATATATATGTGATTGTTTTGGAGTTTCTTATGGTCCCTATGGATTGGATTCATAGATCATTTCTTAAGCGTGACTTACAAATTGGACTCTTCTTAATACCAAATAATCATTTTAAGATATGTCTCAGAACGCCTGTTTCAGAGGGCGTTTCATCTTTCATAGCTACATGCCCAGATTGTAAAGTAAATTAAAGTTCCGATCCAAATAAAGCTCATTGAAATCTCACTCACCGCTAGTTTTACTACACATGCATTTGTATTCCTCACACTATTTCGTATCGAAAATAATTAATCCATATTTATTGTGGCATGAGCAAGCATAGTGTGGTTGTAAGACTATGACACTCTTGAAATCTGAATTGGTTTCCACTACACTTTTTACATATATACTTTATACTGTACTAGTATTAAGCTACGGCCTTGTGTGTGTTTGTCGGGCCAATAATTCATATTTCTTGATTTTTGGTCCATGTAACAACTTCTTGTTTGCCACTGTGTCTGCATTATATTGACATATATATAAGCTAAGGATACTACTTTAATTTAGTCAAGTCAATAAAATAAAGTGCTTGCCCAGAAATCATGCATGCAACGTTGCACACAACAATATATCAAAGTAAATAACCCACTCCAATAAATTTTTTACACTTTCAGACAATCAATATAATTAATATACTAACCAACATTGTTGGCGTGGTAATTTAGCAGTTTGTCCCTTAAGCATGAGGTGAGGAGTTCACTTCCCACCCATGTGAATGGCGCAAACCAAATTAAGATACCTTAGGCAACTAAAAAAATACATATATAATTAAGATACAGTCTTTTTTCGGCCCGAATTGAAGACCAATAGACCAGTTAGGTCGTTCCCGTTGGAAATTATAGGCCATTATGCAATAGGCAAATCCAGGCCAGAATTGAAGACCACCCCAATCAAGATAATGTTTTGAATGGTCAGAAAAGTGTACGAAAATCTTGGATTTTTTTTAGCTGTGGATCGGAGGAACCTTATTAATTAACATGCATGAAAACCATGAGTCATGAGATATAGCCTTTGGTGGTGAGATGGTGTAGTTGTGTCAAAAGTTGCAAATTAAAGATGATGAAATGTTGAATTCAGAAATGGCAAGTACACCAAGAATAACATGTACAGAAATGCATGCATGGCGGCATAAATCTTACATTTCTGTATCTTATTTTAATTTGCAAGACAAGATGTACCTACCTCAAACTACATCATTCCTGGAGAATGGAGACTTTATTGTACTGATGAATAATAAACACCCACCATATAACTATTGCATGCAATATAATGGCACTTAATCACCAGACCTCAACCAGCGGCGCCACCACAATGGGACTCCTCACGGTATATCTACCGCTCCCATCTTGCCAAGCCAAAGAACCATACCCAACTTCGCCGGTGACGTTCAGCGTATAGCTCACACCCAGAGTGTAGTTCTTCTTCTCGTACTTGTTCTTGAACGACAAAGAACTAGGAGAGACATACATCTCCGAATTCCCCCACATCACCAGTTCGCTAATGTTAAAGGTCGCCGGCCCATCTCCGACGTATGTCACCGTCCTCACAAACTCCTGGTTCACCTGCTCCCCCCGCGCACTTCCGTTGGTAGAATACAAGAGAATGAAGGAGGGGTAATTCAGATCAGAAGATGGGGTTTCGCAGGTGTAGTTGGATTTCGTGATTGTTAAGATTTGGTTGATAGTGAAGTTCATGGAGCACAGAAGATTTATGTAGTCTTGTCGCCCGACATCGTATATAAGTCCTGGATTCAGTGCACGGTTCGGATCAACTTGTCCGGCTCCCATGGCCAAAGGATTAGCGCCGGCGTATTGTAAACCGGAGTCTTTTATTGGAGCGTTGGAGTTATCCAGGGGGTTTGCTGTGGTAACCATGGCGGATCGAATCGCCGCCGGGGACCATTCCGGATGGGCGCCCTTTAAGAGCGCGGCGATCCCGGAAGAATGAGGGCACGCCATGGATGTTCCGGAGATCATGTTGTACGCGTTTCCTGATTCACCGGAAGATGGAATCCAGGATGCTAAGACCAGTGTTCCCGGCGACATTATGTCGGGTTTTAGAATTCCTGGACTGCTCGGCGCCGGACCTCTTGATGTATAGGATGAGACCACCGGCGCCGGCTGTATTCCGGTGTACGTCTGTTGAAACTTGATGCTGGCCGACGGTTTGCCGCCGTTCCGGGAGTAATTGAGCAGAGCCGGTGCGTCTTTTGGGCTGATTACGACGCCGGGGTATTCGAAACCGAAATCCTCGAATATTCCAGGATCGTCGGAAATGAAGATTCCGGCCTTGGCCTGAGCTTCGGAGATGTACGACATTTGTGAGAAGAATGATCCAACGTTGTCGCAAATGATTATGCCGTAAGCGTATTTGGAGAGGAGCTCGGTTGAGTTACAAGAGGATATTGTCTGGTTATAGATGAGGGGAAGGTTTTCGATAATGGCGCCATCATGATATGTTGTCCAGCCGAGAATCTCCTCGCCGTTTCCTAGAGACACCGTTCCCGCCAACAAACGGTCAATGGATCCGGCGGCGGTTGTCAGGGCCCACGGGATTCCGTTATGTAATGTTCCGAGATCCGGGCCGTCATTTCCGGCTGAAGAAGAAAGGAGGACTCCTTTTTCCATGGCGCCAAATGCGGCGACGGCGACGGGGTCTTCATAAAGTGGAGCGCCGTTAAATCCTAGAGAAATTGATATCACATCAACGCCGTCAGCAACCGCCGTGTCAATGCCGGCGAGTACATCGGAAGCAAAGCTCCCTCCGCTGTCTCCGACCTTATACATCGCCAACCTAGCGAGCGGCGCCATCCCTCTCGCGGTTCCGTTGGCGTAGCCGAAGTACGAAACGTCTTCGACGTAATTCCCGGCGGCGGTGGACGAGGTGTGGGTGCCATGGCCGGCATCATCCCTTGGAGAGCCATTAAGATTACTTGAGTTTCCGGCGCCGGCTCCTTTGTAGAAGTAACGAGCTCCGATGAGCTTTTTGTTACACAATGAAGAGTTAAAATCCGGCCCTGTCTGGCATGTCCCCTTCCACCTTTCCGGAATTTCAGTCAGGCCTTCATCTCTGAAGCTCGGACTTTCCGGCCAAATTCCGGTATCAATCATTCCAATGATCACATCTTTCCCAAACTGAGACGCCGGCCAAAGCCCAGTTGTGGGATTCAGAGACAGGAACTCAAAGGTATGTGTGGTATCCAGGGCGGTCGATTTATCCTTGTAAGCCGAGACATATCCTGGAGATTTCTTGAGAGCTTCAAGTTCATCCTCAGACAGGACAACACTGAAGCCATGAACAACATTATCGTACGTGTAGAGCAGCCTTGCCTGGCTACTGTCGGAAACTACTACAGAATTAACAATGGAAGAATACCACTGGTCGTGGGTGGAAAACGCGAGTGGCATATGTGACTTGTCCATGTGGACAATGTAGGTAGATTTCTGGGCAGAGATTGAACATGTCTGAAACAAGAACAGCATCAACAAGAAGAGAAGAGGAACACCTCTGAAAGACTCCATTTTTGTTTATGAAACTTTTGCTGGGAATTTCTTAGTCTATGGCTTCCATATTTATACCATTGTTGGAGCATGTATGTTAACATTGTAAAATCCAGAAAATCTGTCAGGACATTGCTCGGCCTCGAACGGCATCATTGTTTTTATCAAATGGCCGGATGTGACATTGATATGTTCTCCCATAATTAACAACTTCTGGATGTCAAGCCTAATATGGCTAGCTAAATTAGTTCTACCGATCACCTTAAATTCTTACTCCAGCCACTGTGTAGGGGATTCGAAGAATCTGGGGACTGACCTCTCTAGCGGCTCTTGGGCAGGGATTCTAGGAGTTTAGGATTAGTCTCGCCTAAGCTGAGAAACCTAATGTACCCAAAAAAAAAAAAAAAAAAAAAAAAAAAACTTCTAGATGTTATGCATTTGAAGTTTTCTTCCTATGTTAGTATCATGCAAGAACTGAATTCGGGTACATGCATTTGTCTCATAGGATGAGACCAAAAGGAATAGAGTGCATTGAAGAAGAGGAAGAGAGAGCTTATGTGATTGATTTTACTAGGAAATTATTTAAGGATATGACTTAGTATTACCCGTTGTCAGTTCATATTCATCCACAAAAGCCAAATGCATATTAGTAGATACTAGGTTCTGCAATTTCTTTAACATTAAAGTGAGGAAAACCCCAAGGTTCTTGTCATTGAAATAGAGTTTTTAAGTCCAGCTGGTTCCAATCTCTAAACATCTGTTCAGGAATTATTCGCGAACTGAGGAATCTGATCTTTTGAAGCTTCTCAGAACATTGGTTCATGGCTTGGCAAGTAGGATTTGGTTCAAGAAATGGTAAAAACAGCAATGGATTTCCTGTTTAGTTCGATTCTGAACTGTAATTAACCATAGTAATTATTTGTCTTTGAACACTATTTTTGGTGCATCCGAGGATGTCTTCGAATACTTTGAACACAAGGCCGGATTAATGTGCACACACAAAAGATCACATCACCATCTGGGAATCATAGGGGCTATTACAATTGGGCTTCTAACTGTGTACTTACCACTGTCATCAACCCATGTTATTGCACCAGATGCGATTTCTCCTGTTCTGTTACCCTTATAGCTCAGAACAAGTGTATAGCTCTTCGTTTCGTGCTTGCTTTCGAATGAAAAACGTGCATTGTGAACTGTGATATCTGAATCTGCAGGGAACGTGATATCGCCAACCTTAAACTTTGCAGGACCGTCGTCTCCAACATAGGTGACAGTCCTCACAAATGTCTGATTCACAGCTTCTGCTGTTTCAGTGCCAGTGTACAGAAGAATAAAAGAAGGGTAATTGAGATCAGAAAATGTAGGGTTACTGCAACTATAGTTGGTTGATCTGGTGATGGTCTGAATTTGGGGTTGGGTGAAATTCATGGAACACAACAGATTCACGTAATCTTGTGGGGTGGCATCATAAATGAGCCCAGGATTAAGAGCACTGTTTGGATTAACTTGTCCTGCTCCCATGGCAAGAGGGGTGGCAACAGTGTATTTCAGACCAGAATCTTTTATCAGATCCTTGGTGTTATCATAGGGGTTGGCTGTTGTAACCATGGCGGATCTTATTGCAGCCGGGGTCCATTCTGGATGTGCACCTTTAAGGAGTGCAGCAATGGCAGAAGAATGAGGACAGGCCATGGATGTGCCAGAGATCATGTTGAAAGTGCGGGACGACATTTCCATTTCCATTTCCGTTCCCACTCTGGTAGATATATGAGGGGTTGGAATCCAGGCAGCCAGGACTAATGTCCCTGGAGCCATAACATCGGGCTTCAAGATCCCCGGGAAGCTGGGCGAAGGGCCTCTCGAAGTGTAGGATGCAACAACTGGTGCAGGTTTTGTTCCCAGTAATGTCTGTTGAAACTTAAGGCTGGCATATGGGTTGACACCATTCTTGGCATAATTGATGACAATGGAGGAGTTTTCTGGGCTTATGATAACTCCAGGGAATCTGGAGAACTCTGTGGACTCAAAGATCTCTGAATCATCAGAGATGAAGATGGCAGCTGCCACCCCAGACCGGGAAATAATGCTAATTTGGCTGAACAATTGCCCAGTATTGTCACAGACAATAACTCCATCACCAAAACTGGAAAGCAGCTGGACAGAATTGCAGGCAGATATGGTCTCATTGTAAATGAGTGGCAGCCTCTCAGAACTTCCCTTTCCATGAAAAACAGTCCATCCAATGATTTCTTCACCATTTCCCAGTCCCAAACTCCCCGCAAACCAACGATCAATCGAGCCAGCTGCAGTTGTTAAAACCCATGGGATTCCATTATGCAATCTTCCAATTCCATGGCCTGCATTTCCAGCTGAGGCAGAAACAAGAACATTCCTCTCCATAGCCCCAAATGAAGCTATGGCAATGGGGTCTTCATACAAAGGAACAAAATCAAACCCCATAGAAATCGAGATCACATCAACCCCATCTGCAATTGCCTGGTCCATTCCTGCAAGAACATCAGAGGCATACCTCCCTTCTTGCCAAAGCACCTTATACATAGCCACTCTAGCTTTTGGTGCTATCCCTCTCATCGTCCCGGGGGCATAGCCAAAGAAAGAAGCAGCTTCGACATAATTCCCAGCAGCAGTTGAAGATGTATGCGTGCCATGGCCTGCAATATCTCTCCCAGAGTTCATAGTTATCGTAATATTGGGATTGGCAGCCATAACTCCTTTGTTGAAGTACCGGACACCAATCAGCTTCTTGTTACACATGGAAGATTCAAACTCCTCTCCTTCCTCACACATCCCTTTCCACCTCTCAGGAATGTCTGTCATGCCATCATCTCTGAAGCTGGCACTCTCCGGCCACACTCCGGTATCAATCACACCAATAATCACATCTTTTCCGTACTGAGAATCCGGCCACAGTCCCGTGGCCGGATTGAGAGACAGAAACTCGAAGGTGTGGGTGGTGTCAAGAGTGACGGTTTTGTCACTGTAAGCTGAGACAAACCCTGGGGTTTTCTTGACAGCTTCTAATTCATCCTCGGACAACACTGCGCTAAAACCATGAAATGCGTGGTCGTAAGTGTAGAGAATCCTGGTTGGATCATCTGATAATAATGTTGGGTTTTCCAGATTGACAGAATGAACAACAATGGAGGAATACCATTCATCATGTCTGGAAAAAACTGTGGGCATGAATGATTTGTCCATGTGGACGATGTAGGTTGATTTGTTTGCAGAGATTGACCATGCATGAAAGGTCAACGACAGGACTAGGAAGAGAAGATGAACCCCTTTAACTGATGACTCCATTTTTTTGTTCTGTGACTTCAACTTCATCTGTATCTATATATAGATACAGATGATGTGGGAGGGTTCAGATGAGAACAAATTTCCGGGTAATGTTCCATGCAACGTTGATTAAATTGAAAGTGAGGTCACAGACTGTGACTTGTAGAGTCTTGAACGCAATATTGCGTAACCTCAAATTTAAGCTATGCTAAGAATGCTTGCAAGACATAATATGAGAAGACAGACGTTCTGTTCGAAGCAACTGAGGAAGATTTGGAGAATATTTCTCGCAGATTCACTATTCTTAATAGTAATTTGTAATAGAATTTAAGCATTATTGTATTGTGGAGTTATGTGATTTATGTCCGACTTTCAATTATTAATGGCATATTCTTCGATAGATTTATTAATTTTTATGGAGTATCGATTTTATTCTAATTTTGATCCTTCATTAAAAAAATCCGTTCTGAATGCATCAAAAGTGTAAATCACATTGTGAAAAGTTAAATGTTACACTTTTACTTTAATAAATAGCACTTCCTAAATAGATTTCTTAATAAAAGATCAAATTTGAAATAAAATTAATAATTTAAGGACTGATTATGATCGAATTAAAAGTCAATAATTAATGAATCAATCATAGAATTAACTCAGCAAAAAGTCCAAATGATGCCATGTAAACCAACCAACCCTTGTTGGTTCCAAATTATATTTTCTATTTTTTTTTTCTCACAAGTTAAGCAAAAATCAAAAGAAAATATGCATGGTACATAATATTACTATAAAGTTGACTAGCAAATCTGCAAACCCAAGAAAAATCTTTGACCAGGAAATTGGGTATGGTAGCTATGGAAAAAGTCAGACAAATTAGAGATGGGATCCTAAGTTGATGCGCTAATTAGGGCATTCAAGTGTTCATACATATGCACAAGTAAAACAATCACAGAGACAGACCAATGTACAAAAAAAAAAAAAAAAAAAAAAAAAAAAAAAATGAAAATGAAAAAAAGAAACAAAAGTAAACATCCTACAAACCTTTTGTATGCCCAGGAAACAAAATGAATGCATGGGGTCCAATTTCTCTTGTGCCTGCAAGAAAGACCTGCTTCTGCTTCTTCTTCTCTTCCTCCTTTATGGTTTGTGGTGACTTCACTGATTACATGGGACCCGCTTATCCGCCGCACTCATTTGCAGCCAGCTGTCTTTGGTGACAATGGCTACCTCAATAAAATGTCACTACCAGACACCTAACTATGATGCAGAATGACAGGTATTTTAATGCAGGTAAGTACAGAGAAGAACATGAGCTGCAACATTGTTCAAAGATGGCATTGAACTCTATCTGGCTGTATTAAAGCATGGTGAACCCTTCTTGGCAGCTAGGTAGCCATATCACTATAAACAATAGCTCTGTTCTAGAGCGCTGTTCAGAGAAATAACTACATGGAGTTTTTGGGGGTATGGGGAAGCAGCAAAATTGATCACAAGTAAACTCCTAGCGTCAAATGTTACTACAGGAACCTACACAAGCAAAAGGTATAACTAGAGTGCAAAGGTGAAGGCGAATGGTATTTACAGAAACAAAGAACATCATTTCAGTTCAACCTTTATAAGACGAATGCTGAGGCTACTGCTCATCATCGGTTTCTTGTCTTCTCAATAAGGATGTGTTGTTGGTTTGGACACTACTTTCGTAACCACTACTATCACCTGATTCAATCATCCGCTTCTGCATGACCCTCTCCTTCACTCCGTCATTATGTGAACGTGCATTGTCCCTTCCAGCTCTTTGGTCCTGACGATGAAAACCATAGATGCATTACACACAAAGGAGACACTTGTCTACGTATTATGTATTGAAAAGGATGAGGTAATCAAAAAGTTCCGAGGCATTCTCAAGAGATGTATTAAGAATGAGTTAATAGGAGGTAAGTAGGTGTGCCATCATTGATCAAACATGTCTCTTATGACATATTTTCAAAAGTCTCTCTACTCAATCATACCTATTAAGAAAGTTTACCATTCTGAGACAGACAACTTTTATGAAGAATAATTATGCATGTATGCTGAAAAGTAGAGGGTAGGAAAGTGTACTAAAGTATCATGTTGAAGAGAAAAAGAAAAGTTTCAGCTTTATTAAACAAAAAATGATAACCACAGCAGGGACAACAGTGATGAATTTCATGCTCGTACCGAAACATGCTTGTCCTCAACAATTAAGAAATTTAATCATGGCGAAATTGATATGCAGAGATTAACATGTTATTCATATCTCCCCAGTGATGAAGTTGAGCAATCAATCTTTAGAGGGAAGAGTTGTGATTATATCATATTAGGAGAATAGGAGGTAGGTTCAAGAATGCTTAGCAGTCCTACTCATATATAGCAACTGATTGAACAGTTATGGTAATAATGTTTTGATAGGGAAAAATGGAAAATAAAACTCACATCTCGAAAGGGGAAATCATCAGCTTCAAGCATGTGTATTACATGGCCCATCTTTGGCCTCTTTTGTGCATTTGGGTCTACACAGCGTAAAGCCACCAAGAGGGCACGTTTCAATGCTCTTGAAGAAGGTTTTTCAGTTAACTTGGGATCTAAAACTCCGTCGGAATTGCGGTTTGAAACCATGGTTTTTAGCCAATCAACTAGGTTCACCTGAGAATTAATATAGCAATGTTAATAACAAAATAGAAAGCAAATTTAAAGAGGTCTCGAATATAACAAGTAATCTTTAACAAGTCATTACAAACCTCTCCAGCTGGGCGGCTATAATCCACTGGATTCCTTCCAGTAATTATCTCCATCAGAAGAATTCCAAAACTATAGACATCACTTCTTTCATTTAACATGCCAGTACTGGCATATTCTGGAGCAACATAGCTGCATCATAAAAAGAAGAAGCTTTTGAATAAGTTTTCCTAGGTCAGCCTAAGGGTTAGCAATCAAACATAAAAGTACTGGATTTGAAATATTCCTTACTGACCCAAATGTTCCCATAACTCGAGTGGTAATGTAACTCTTCTCGGAACCCAAGAGCTTGGCCAAGCCAAAGTCAGATACTTTGGAATTCCACTGTTTATCAAGCAAAATGTTGCTTGATTTGATGTCACGATGAACAACCTTGGGTTCAAGACCTTCATGCAGATAGGTTAACCTGTGGACATCACCAAGCTTTTGTTATTGCACTGGAAAAAAAAAATCTGCAGAATAGAGAATTAACTAGTAGCAAAAGAGAAATGTGACATTAAACAAAAGTATACCCTTTTGCACATCCAAGAATGATATTCATTCGAATTTCCCATGTAAGAGGGCTGCAGGGTCCTACATCTCCATGGAGCCACTGTTCCAAGTTTCCATTGTTGACATACTCATATACAAGCATCCTGAAAACCGCATTTATGAGATAATAAATATTAATCAATCACCAATCCAAGTAAATTTCAAAATTGAATATAGTATTCAATGCCTAAAGCTCTAATTAGATAAATACCATAGAATCAGAATGGAACAATAACTTGAAAGTTGAAATTACCTATGTGCTCCCTCGGCGCAGTAACCAAGCAACCTCACCAGATTCTTGTGCCGGACACGCCCAATTGCTTCAACTTCAACCTTAAACTCCCTCTCAGCTTGTCCCCTGAAAAGAAATCACATAAAGAACCCATAAGTAATCCTTAATTACCTAAAAAGAAATCAGCTTTGTCTCCATATCCATTTTAATTCCTCTGACTAGTATGCACAACAAAACTCCAGCGGCTTCACAAATACTGATTAACGACCAAATCATTACAAAGAATGAAATGTTAACAAAGAAACAAAATATTAATGTTCACCTGTTATTGAGCAGATTCTTTACAGCAACTTTAGTGTTGTCCTCGAGAACACCACAGTAAACAATGCCATAACCACCTTCACCAATCACATTCTCATCAGCAAACCCATTCGTCGCTATTTCGAGCTCCCTCAGAGTATACCAATGGCCCCACCCCAAGTGCGAAACCTCCGGCACAGTAATGGCGGGCGCCTGATCACCCGACCGCGACTCTCCACTCCCGCTGCCGGGACCAACACGCTGCTCCGGATACGAAATTCTGTGGCCCTTCCCTATTTCGATGTTAATTCTCTGCTGCCCACCGGAGCTGTGGCTCTCGTCCTCGAAAAGGTCAGGCTCCGGGACCGGGTCGGGTACAGGAGCTGGCAAAAGCATGGGCTTTTCTGGATGTGTTCTGGAGGGGTCAATCCGGATTTCCTGAATCTCCTTGGAGGCGTTGGGGATTTTGGAGTTCTTGTGAGCAAGAAGAGTGGTGGTAGACTTCTTACTGCTGTTGCGGCGGGAGGTGAACCAGAGGGAGACGAGGAAGAGAACGAGCACAATTGCAGCTCCGACACAGATACCCAGAACGACCCATAACCGCAACCCGAATATCGAGGTGCGCTTCGATAGCTGATCGTTCAGAAACGCCGACATTCTCTTCTAGTCTTCTTCTTCAGCTTCAGCTGTGCTTTAACGAAACTCGACACACCACATTTACAAAGAACCGTTGAAAGATTGAAGGACGAAGACAAAAACGAGCAATTAGCCGATACTGTACATATTGTGAGCGTTGTGGGTTGGATTTGGGTGAGTGATAGTGAGTGGTGGCTTGGCATGGGGTCAAAGGAGCAGCTGTATTGATGTGACCCGTGGAAAATGGAGGAAGCCCCACTCAATTTCTTGTCTACACTTTGTTGTTATGTACGGTTTTGTATCTACACACTTTTTGTTATGTACGAATTTTATTATGTCACGGTAAAAATAAAAAATAAAATCTTTATCAAAATAATTCATCATTTTCATACGATTTATCGAACAATAGTCAGAGAACCAATCCTCCGTCTCAACGATCAGCACACTAAGTAATTAGACTGGTCAAATGATTTGATTTGCTCCATTCACATGAGTAAAAATTGAACCCTCAACTTCATACTTAAAGGACAAGATACCGAACGACCACACCAATCATGTTAGTTTGATTATAGATTTATTTAGTCACTCAAATAAAATTCTTTGAGTCTCTTAAAGATGCCAAACGCCGTCTAATAATTAAATTTAGAATGGAGGGCATCACCTTTTAAGTAAGTATCAATCAAAGAAGTTAATATTTTTTTTAGTAAGGGAATCGATACGACGGCTGTGAATGGAAAGAGTGGGCCGATCGGAACCGAAGTAGTGATATTTATATATAGTAAAATAAGAAAAGGAAAAAAAAAATTGAAGGCGAAATAAATGTATTGCTCTCCATCTGTAATTTGTCAGTGTTGCCGACAGTATTAATATCAACCTAACTTGCAGCAAAGATATCTACCGCATACTGGATTACGAATTCTATTCTATGCTTTTAATAAAGAAAAAAAAAATAAACAACTTATTAAAGAAATCATTGTTGGATATGGTTATGACTTATGATAAACTATTGTAACTAATTAATACAAGTAATGAAGCAGGCAGCTAAGCATATACAAAGTATGAAAAGAAGGATGATGAGGACAAGCACCAACCGGAAAATTTTAATCTTTTGCATGACGTTAGAGACGAGAATCGATTCACATACATATATAGGAATTTGCAGATTCTTTTTTTGAGCAGGAAATAAAGTATGGAATAAGAACAAATTGATAAGTTCACCAGCTACAACAGCTCAATTATGTTGATGTTTGCTCTGTGATATAGTTAATAAACTAGAAAGGGGCATCAGTATAACTGGTGAGCCAAAAAAAAAAACAAAACAAAACAAGGGCATCAAATATTTTTCAGCATCCTTTAGGCAAATTTGTAAGTTATTGACTAAGAAGAAGAGACACCTGGTGATGAATTGTTCCCGGAGCAACTCATGTCTAAATGCAGCCTTGATAATGAATCATTCCTGCATATATCCTGCAATTTTAAGAAGAATCCCGAGTTAATTTACAGGCATTTGTCATTTGACTGAAGTACTGGACCATTTGAGACAAGTTTTACCTTTGTAGAAGCCAAATGGTTAAGCATCCCATAATGATTCTGCATTGGTGTCTCAAAGACTAGGGGACTCTCTGAATTAGTGGTGTTCTTCATAGAGGATACATTTTGCTGGGCTGAAGGATTCTGGTGGGAGATTTCAAACCTGTTCTGCATTGAAATTTCTTGGTTTCCAGAAAAATTAGTTGCTCCTCTTGTTTTTGGAATTACATTCTCATCAAATGCACTCCCCGATGGAGGCAGTTGAATTGATTGGAGAGATCCCTGGAAATAGCCCGGATACAAACTCAATCCATTCCTCATTGTCAACATCTGCAAAGCCAAACTCTAGAGTAAGAGAAAGGTTCTAATTATGTCTTAGGAAGATTGCAAAATAACAAAGAGCCTAGAGTAGTCTTTGATCAGAATATTTCATCTTTCCCAGTAAAGAATTGTTGGTCATTTAAGGGGGAATACAGATTATTTCAAGAAATATATCTATCCAACCAAACTCTAGTTAATTTGTTTCTTTGCTTATTTTGTGATAGAGACATGAAAGCATTCACTAATGTCTTTCTCATCAACCATGGGATACCCAATCACACAATGAACTAAAGGGAATGCATCTTTTTCTCTGCTGGTTGTTTTAGGTAAGATTGTTAAACCCCGATAAATATATGCAATATAGAAAAAAGAAAATTAACTAAATACCCAAATTAGAACGACCAAGGTAAGCATTTGAGTATTAGAGTTTGGCTCACTCTCGGATAAAAATAAATGAAATAGATGTCTTTATGAAGATAAGCAGAGTAGCACAAAATTCTATCCACTGGGGTGGTCTATTGCTGCAAAGAGACAAACTCTAATAAGCAAATGTTGTTTTCATTGTAATTATGATGTATGCAAAATTCTATCCAACAGTGCATTTTATTTTTGTCAATCAACGAAAAGTATACCCAAGTTCAGTAGTGGATGAAGTATAACCCTAAAAAAAACAGGCACTAAAAATAGCAGGATTAAATACCTGAACTTGCAATTGAAGCTGCTTCAAATATTCAATTGCTTCATCAAGCATTGATGCCTTATCAGTCTATCACAGAACACAAACCCAATAAAGACCAAGGAAAACAACTGCACTGTAAAAAGATGGAGAAAAGTTACTATAGTTAAGAATAGTCTTACTTTATTAGAATTTGGAATCAAGTTCTGCAGTGCTTTTAATTTCTCATTGATTCGACTCCGCCTCCTCTGTCCACATAAGTGTTAGCCAGATAAATCAACAGTAACATCCTCTATATTCAAAATTAAATCTAAGACATTTGAGTCAAAGCAGACCTTTTCAGACAAATTATGAACCTCTGCTGATCTACTCCTCTTTGATCCTCGCAGTTGAACCTGGTTACTTGGCGCATCTGAAGTTTCACAATCCTGATAAATGCTTGATGGTTAATAATCAATTACAGTACAAAGGAGTATTTGTATTTACTCTAAGATTAGAGCAACAGTTTTAGTAAATTATCTTCAACGTATGATCAAGGACAAAACAGCTAATATTGAGCTCATCACCATGGTTTGTCTACTGTGAAGTATTGTTAGCTTTGGCCTGATGGGCCATTAGAGTTTGTCCCACAAGCAATCCACTGCGTGAGGACATCATTCAATTCTTCACAAAGCCAATCACATGAGAGTCCGTTTTATTGATGAAAGTGAAATGTAACAATGACCCACAAAGTGTTGTTTATAGCGATTACTACATATATACATTAAATTTGTAGAAAATAATAATAATAATAAATCACAATCACAATCACCTCAAGAGTAAAAGCGAAATCGTCGACCTTGTTATCATGTGCAAACTCAATCCCCTTTGAAGAAGTGATGGCTTCACAATCCCCAATTCCAGCTGAAGAAAATGCATTCACAGCATCCTCCTTCACTTGTGCTCCGTAAAATCCGCAAGGATCGGATAAATTAAGGCTACAAGACGACTCTACCACAGCAGCAGAAGATCCATCTCTCATCCGAGACTCTAAGTTGTTGGAAGCCACCGCCGTTGATCGAGCAAAGAGACCGCCGCCGCCGCCGGCAGCAGCAGCAGCGGAAGCGGACGAGCCGTGGAGAAGATTGTGAACAAAGGAAGACATGTCCTCGGATTCGAGCGAGTGTGGATGACGGGGGTTTACTCCGTATGGATCCGCCATTGCTGTTAGTCCTCAGAAAAAAACTAATAACCAGGAAGAAGTAAAACCCGAAAATTACAAAGAAAAGCCAAATTTAAGTATCCTCGTGTGTTTTCCAAGCTCACTGCTCTGAGCGCAAGGGTTTTCTTAGTTCATGGAGATGAAGATGAGAGCTTCTCACCTTCTCGGTCTATCATATGCATTCTCTTCTCTCTCTAAAACAGAGTGTTTAGAACTGTAATCTCCCGCCTTAATTGTGATTTGGTTCATTTTCGGGTTTTTTTAAATGATCAAATTACAATTTTACCTCAATACTTCTACTAATTTCCAATCAGCTATTCAAGTTTAAAATTTGCATTTTTACCCCTCTATTATCAATAATGTTAACTGCCATCAAAATTTTGAACTTTATTGAAAAAGTCAATTACGCTCATAAACATGTTATTTTGGAACATTAAAGCCCAAAAATCGATCAGTAACCTGTAATTACAAGTCACTAGGGTTCCCGACAACAAAACACCAACGACCGTTATCGGTCGCGTTTGGTTTGCCTTTTCTAGCGAATGAGAGGGCGACGCCTTCTCTCGTCATCGGAGAAGGCAACCAAGTTGGTCTCCCTTTCCGACGAAGAAAAAGGCAGACCAAACGCAACCGTGACAGTTGCCGGTATTTTGTCACCAAAAATTAATCGGAGGTTCATCGGAATCCTAATGACTTGTAAATACAGGTCACTAATCGGTTTATGGGTTCCAATGCTTCAAAATAACATGTTTATATGTTTAATTATAATTTTTAAAAATTAAAAAATATAATTGAAGGTTTGAGTAAAATTTAAGAACCTATTTGATCCTTTCTCTTTACATTTTTATCGATAAAGCAGCTTGAATTTAATCTCTTATAAACAATAATATATAGAACTTTTAGTCTCGACTCTTTGAGACATACCCTACAATATTGATAAATTTGCATACGTGTAATTTGTCAATATGGAAAAAAGGCATAGAAGATTAAAATATTATTTCACCATACTGATTGCCTTATCACAAAACCCCAACTGGAAGCCACAGGAGCTTAATAAAATAATAATAAATAAATAAAACCATTCAATCGCCATTCCCAATGACGATAGCTTTGTCGATAGGGAAGCTGATTCTGAACACAATGTTGAATCATTTTTATTGTTTGCTGCCCTCTTTGGTATCTGTCTGGCACCATCAAACACCCTCAAAAGTAATCATCACAAATTTCTCTCATCATACAAAATTCACTAATTTATAATCTTAATATCTCATCATATTATTCGTATCAACACACATATATTTCAGACTATGATTGACCTCCCAAGCAACTAGAAAGAACATACATTCCCTGTCCGCAATGATTTAGCTCACTGATTCAGTAGACAATATTTGAAAAAAAAAAATCAAAATTAAAACTTCAACAGTGACATTGTAAAAATTATGCCTAAATTGAACAGATTTCTTATGCGCACCAACATTTCACCCATTATACTGAGCTATTAAGTCACAATGATTTACATCCTCCCAAATACTCTGTAAACCTTTTAGGGAAGAACATATATCCCCCAAAAAATACCATTTTCAAAATGATTTGAGCAACACAGGTAATAATGCAGTATAAATATACCCTACCTAAGAATGCATTTATCCATTAATAACCTGTCCTGAGAGAGATTAGACAAAACATAAGGTGAAAAATCTTTAAAGAAATTATGTCAAATAAAAATACAGGCAAAAAAATTAAATAAACAAATATTCAATAGTAAATAAGTAATTCTAAATTCTTACTGGGTACGGATTGAAAAAAGAAAAACAAAAACAAAAACAAAAACAAAAAAAATGTGCATTTCCAGCTAACTAGTGAGGTTCTTAACAATATGAATGGCTAAAGCTAGAGCTACTTTAGGATCACTCATAAAACTACGAGGAGAAAAATACGCGAAGGACCTTCACGATTCAGTGATTCCTATGGAGACTCTACGCGATCTGACCCACTTAGTGGAGTCATCCTTGCCTAAAGGAGAGACGACGTTTTATCCATCCAGCTGCCCACCCACCCAGTTCCGATTAAATGAAAGAATGATGTATGGTAACACTTCCCGCTCATCATGTAGCCAGTCCTGTCGTTTTACATATGGGGCACAGGTTCTTCTGTTTAAGCCATTGTTTAATGCACTCGTTATGGAATTCATGCCCACAATCCAACGCTCCAAGATCTTCCCCATCGATATATTCTTCCTGAAATACATACATATACAGATTTCGCTTAAACAATGCCTGATTCGAGAAAATCCAAAAAAACGGTGGGAATAAGACAAGGACGGTACCTGGCATACACAGCATGGTTCTCTTTCCATAGATTCTTCGGTCTTCATGGACACATACTTGTGCTGTTTCAACCGGGACGTAATGGCTTCTTCGCTCAACCCAGTGCAGACATTTCCAATACGCTCTTCCAGTGCAAGTAACTCCTGAGGAGAGTAGCGAAATCAAGAATGCTAACCCGGGGGAACCCAAAACAAAACAAAAAGACGCAGAAAATTAATGTTAAATGTCAAATTCTGTCCTTTCTGCCCACGCACCTCATATGACATGTTGTCAACATCGAGTCGCATGTCCCTGTGCCGATCATGAATATCGGCCATCCCAAAGAGGATTGACTGATCGAGTATCATCACATCCTGGACAAGAAGAAAAACCGCTTTCAAAAGGCAGGTTGTTAAAGTTAATCCAGAAATCTGCCATTCTGGGATCACCGGATCAGTCATCCTTTCATCCACAGGTCTGGTAGATCTACAAGCATTTCTTAAAATAAGGAAAACGGTATAACACTATAGATAGCAACATTATGTTTTAAGCAGGTTACTAAAGTAGTAAAGTTAATCCTGAAATCTTCAAGCAGACATCCTTCCATCCATGTCTGCCAGAATTACAAGAATTTTTGCATTTTCTCGAAAGAATGGAACGGAGTAGATGACAATACTATTTTTGGTACGCCTTTTAGAAAACCATAGATAGTATTGATGAGCTCATCAACCATTTCATCTAGACTAAAACGAAACACCTATTAAAGTTAAGAGCATTGTAAACATTTATCCAAAAAAAAACATATTTTTCACATTCCCTACAATCTTCTCTACCCTATACACGACAAAGTAAGTGAGCTGGCATAGTAGGAAAGAAACGAGAGCTCAAGTGGAGGTTCATTCACGACAAAATCCTATCTGGTAGTTGTTTGTCCAGGTTATAAAGGAGTCTCTAGTGGAAAGTTCATATGGTTAAAAAAAAAAAAAAAACACGTAATTTACTTCCAATTTCACTAGACTAGTAAGCCTAATATAAGAAGATCGAACGAAGAAAAAAAAAAAATTATGGATGCACAAATCTCCAAATGTGATATAGAATTACATACATCAAATATAATAAACATTTAGTAATGCAAGAATCTAACCTCAATCCGCAGGTTCTCTCCACGTCGCATAAGATCCAAAACATTTCGTATCTGTTCAGTTGAAAAATGATATTAACTTCATATCTAATTACAAGTGGCCAGCTTTAGAAAACATATATAAACCCATTCAGCTTCTCCTTAAGAAAATGTGAGCTAATAAACATATCTTGGGATTCTTGGCACAGAAATTAATTGTAGGATTTTTAGCTATCATAAGAAAATGTAGAAAGGATAGAAATCCAAAAATAGAGGTGCCAAGTCTTCAAATAAGCCAAATTGAATAGGGTTGTATCAATTATAGATACAAGATAACACATGTCTAAGTTTAAAGATATAAGAAAACTTTAACATTTCATCATGGGAGGTAGATATATGCATTATTGGTTCTGTATATTGGTCTGACTAAAAGATGATCAAGAAAAGGATTAAGAACGGTAAATTAGAGCTCGAATAAAATGTCAAACATACCTCAGAGACTAGCCTGCTTCTTCCCTCCCCAGCAGCAGCGAGACCCCTCCAGGAATAAGGACCTCCAGAAGAACCACCGAGATGCCTCTCCAACAACATAGCTGACCTTGAACTAGATGGCCGATGCCCATTATTAGCAGAAAGAGTGATCTCCTGTGAGGTAGCAGAAGAACCAGAAAGTGGCGGGGGATTATTGCCAGTCACCCCCGAGTCAGAAGCAACTGACGACAACAGGGATCTACGAACAAATTCCGATAGCCTCCTAGGATATTGTGGAGGATTACGATGAGGTGCCCAAGAAGGAGAAGCAGCATTGTGAGCTCCTGAACTAGAGGCACCCCGAGAAGTAGAAGCGGGATTTCCAGCAATACTAATATTTCCATTGGCTAAACCCCAGTTAGTAGGGGTTTGGGTTGGATTCCCAATCTCAGAAGCAGGAGTAAACATAGGATGTTGTGACATATTCCTCGGCACACCTCTAGAACTCGGTTCATCAAACAGAATGAAATCTCTCTCCCCGGGAAGAGGAAAACTACTCGGATTACCACTTCTCGAGCTAGATGCAGCGTTCCACCTAGCCTGAGCACTGGGACGCAAAGCGGGGACACGCACCGACCCTTGAGGATTCGCGTTGTATGTTACCGATGGAGGCTGTAAGTTCAACGAATTATTGTTAAGGAGTCTCGACGAGTGCCTATCAGATGAAATGGTAGCATTCACAACATCAGCGTTGCTCGAGAACAGATTCTGAGGACTAGAATCTTGTTGTTGTGAGGTATTATTAATCCTCACTCGGAAATTTCTTCGGGAGCTTTCTGCATTTCTGGAAGAAGTTAAACCAAGAGGACCTTCAGGAGCAGCAGTTCCGATGCTTAGTCCAAGTCTAGGGTTTATCGGCTCTGGCAAACTAACGCCATTATAGTTCTGAGCAGGAGACGACATGACAGAACTGCTACTTACATTGTGTTGAGCAGGGACAGTATGCCATACACTACTTTCAGCATGATGAAAGTAACTCGAACTACCACTTCCAGAAGATTGACCGACATGACCTTCAAGTGCTTTCCTTTTACACGATATGCGTCGACCCTCAAGTGAACTGCCGGGCCTGCCATCACTTTCCGGAGCCAAATATCCACCAGTTCCAGAAGGGCCTGGAAAAGGGATCAAGGAAGAACTGCCAGATGTCACTCGCTCGTTCACCGGTACTTCAGACTTGTAAGCAGTGACACACTCCATTACTAGACAGTCATCGTCGTCATCATCATCAGTATCATCCCCCTCAAATCCCGAATTTCTGTTGAGATTGTGAGGTGAAGCACGGGAACTAGAACCAGAACCACCTTGCATAAATAGTCCTGTGCCGGTGGTGTGATTGCTGTTTATATTT